TTGTTGACATTTGTGCGTTTTCTAGGTTAGGTTTTCTATCTGCGGAATTTCGATAGTTTCTAATACCATTTTGTATGAGAAGTGCTAGGTAACATATCTGTGCGATAAAATTGGTTTATTTTATGGCAGAATGGGCCCATAAATGTATTTTTTCTTATTACTTATCAACAAAGAGTCGTTAAAGTTAATCTCACGAGGATTAGAAACCACTGGCTCGGACTCCTTATTCCTTAACCAGCTAGATATCAAGCAGCAAAGACATAAGATTTTCACTTAAGATTATAAATCGAACATGATTTCAAGAGAAAATGGGCTTTCCGATTGAATTGAAAGATTATAGATAAAAAATTTCAAGTGAAAATGAGCTTTCGAGAAATTGATGGAATATGTATTCGTATAACAATACTCTAATATATATTATTAACATATATAATAATATTTCAACATAAATAATATTACTGTTAAACCACTTGGGTTGCCTTCTAAAAACTCTCCACTCTCAAAGAAGGAACGACAACAACAACTTATAGAATACTTAATTTTGATTTTTTTTTATTTCTTGTATTTTTTCTTGATGCGAATTACTAATAAACAACGAGTTGTTAAAGTTAATCTCACGAGGATTAGAAACCACTGGTTCGGGCTCGATTCCTTGACCAGCTTGATATCAAGCAGCAGAGATATAGAACATGATTTCAAGTAAAAATGGGTTTTAGAAGAATTCTTGCATTATATATCCTCAACAATTCTCTAATACATATTATAATAATGTATCTAATATCTCAACAGATGATATTGTTTAAATCACTTGGGTTGCCTTCTAAAACTGTTTAAGTTAATCTCATAAGGATTAGAAACCACTGGTTCGGACTCGATTCCTTGACCAGCTTGATATCAAGCAGCAGAGATATCAGATTTTCACTTAAGATTATAAATAGAACATGATTTTAAGTGATAATGAGCTTTCGAGTAATTGATGCAATATATATCCTCATGACAATTCTTTAATACATATTATAATAATGTATCTAATATCTCAACAGATGATATTTAGACACTTGGGATTCCTTCTTAAAACTCTCAACTCTCAATTAAGGAAGGTACAACAACAACAACTTATAGAATACTTAATTATGATTGTTGTTGACAAATGTATATAGAAATTCTTTTTTTTTCTTCTGTTGGTCACGAACTTGCTGAAAGACAAAATATCGCTTCCATCAACAATTGTATAGATGTCCCAATGGCTGCCCAGCTTATTTATTTATATAGAACGGAATTCTTTTCCAACTAACATCATTGATATTGGTCTACCATATTGATATTATTAAGAATTCATTTATCGATACTAAACACGACTCTCACACCCGAACATTCCGTTTTAGGTATCCCAATAGTCTAAGTGGCTTTTGGCGAAAGCCCAGCGGGACAATATGCCTAAACATAAGCCAAAGTATTCATAATATTACTGAAGCCGACAATTCTTCCGCATTGTATGTGGAAAACTAAAGTAATGATAATTCAATATAAGATAGAAAGTCAGATAGATGAAGTGCTCTTAATAAATGGCACTTTAAACAAGTGAACTTCAATTATTATAGTAAGTCTAAGCACGTTTATTACCGTTAATGCGGAAATCTTAATTCTGTCGACGGTAATATAAAGTTTAGTATGGTTTTATGACTGCATCAAAAATTCTAAATGAATACACGCACACACACACATGTATACCTGTGTCACACATACACATACACATGCGTCTGTATATGTATATATTGCATATAACATTGTATATGTTAAAAGATATAATTTACAAAACAAAATTAGGCATCAGTTCAATCGTTAAAGAGACATTTACAATTTGGTTTAAATTTGTTTTAACAACTCTTGTAAACCCTTCGATCCTTTATCCGACTTATGAGCAAGCAAGAGGATTGTACATTTAATTTAATATTTTGTTGCCTATTTTAAGTTTTCATTTTTCAAAAATATTTAATATCTTTAATATGTTGGTTATCACGTAATATATTTACTGATGGTTGTTAACTTCCCGCAGGGCAAGTTATAGTAATCGCAAAAAATCGAAAATAAATTTTTTTATATATCTTTAAGTTTAAAAGGTTTCTGAAGGCAGGTCGAGCGGTTACGGACTCTCAATAAACATAAGTTTAGAAAATGTCATTTGCCGGTCAAAAATGTTTTTTAATTATGGTACGAAAAGTTCCAGCAATTTGCCTTAATGCACGATGTCATGCACTCCACTAGTTATCATTCTTCTTTCTAAATTATTTTCGAATGAAAAAAAAAGATTGGAAACATTTAATGATCTTGATTTAATAAATAGATTTTATAAGATGCGAGTTAATAAATTTGATATCAAACCTTGCACAACTTTGAGTCCAAATCGCAGTATACAAAAATTCAAGAAATAAATTTTAGAAAATGTTACATACAATGCTCGAAATATGTGGAGTGTACAGTTCTTACATATCATAATCATCCACACTCAAATAATAATTAAAAATTTAATTAATGGAAAATATGAAATACAAAATTACATAAGTAAAATGCTTCTCTATATAGTTAATGCTAATAATAAGAAAATATATGAGAAAATATTATTTGTAAATGCAATATAGTATATTCATTATTTAACAACTTAAATATTGTAACAATTAATTTGCCATGGTATTTTAACAATTAATTTGATAGGTTCTGTGACAAAAATAATTTTCTGTTATTCCAACTATGTGCTACCTGGTTCTATAAAAGATCTTTAGTTAAAATAAATATTTCAGTTTCAATTCATCAAAATTTTTCCACCACATTTATATTTTGTTAACGTGGTATTGTCTTTAAATATATTGTTTGTGGTTTTTGTGATATTTTTTAATAACAAATTTACTTTAGAATTAAAAAATGTCTATTTGACTGTAAACCTAAAATCAAATAGGAGCTGGCTAGTAGTAAGAGCCAAGCGATTTGAATCAGAAGTCCCACTCGAGCAGCTTGGTGTCAAGCAGTAGTGACATCGGTTTGACTTAGAAATATAGAAAGCAATATGTTTTCAAGTAAAAATACACTTTATCCGGCATAGCAGCATCAATAAAACTCATCACTACTATCTAAATAGTAGCATGTGATGAAAAATGATCACATAGAGATGGGACTCCCATGATTTTTCATCATGGGGCAACTGGTCAGGTTGTCGAAGTAATTAGTTAAGTCAAATCATCAAAACCAAGAAGTACTCATCGCTGTTCAAAGAACATACATATATAAAAAACATACAAATATGAAAAATCAAATAGATTTATAATCTATTTAGTTCAAACTAAAATAAGGTCAAACTTTCTATAGAGGGTTCACAGTACGAATAAATGTATTACTATTATTAGTAGTAGTAAACATTAGTATTGCAAAGGATGCTGCTTTAAATTGCTATAAATAAACATCATCAGTCTTAGTAATGGTTGTCTTAATTGACATATTGCAAAAAAACGTTTAAGATATGAAGTTATAATATTATACAAACATGGCGACAGAAGGAGAAGATATAGTTCACCACTCCGCCAAATTAAGGCATAATATTAGGATTTTTTGTATTTTAATTTTCCCGGGCAGAGGATTCAATTGTGTTTCTGTACGCAAAGGTCATACACAACCCACACAATCATTAAGTTTTTAAAGCAATTTTAATAAAAATTGTGTGTGTGAAAAAGTCAAATCAATTTTGTACAAATGGAAGGCGATAATAGAAGTATTTTCACTTTTCATTTCAACTGAAATTAAAAGATTTCATTTGGGAGGAAATCCGAAATCTCTCTCGATAACAAGGTACTTCCGTACAAAACTATCATGGTGCCCATTTGGACTTATGGTATCGAACTATGGGGTTGCTCTTGTAAATCAAACATAAACATCATTCAAAGGTTCCAGAACATAATTCTGCGTATCTCAACTAATGCGCCTTGGTGTATTTCGAACTTTTGCCTACATAAGAATTTGAAAATCTCTACAGTCAACGAAATGATCAAGATTAGAAGTGCATCTTTCAACAATAAATAAACCCAGCATACAAATCCTACTATTCAAGCGATTCACAGACCGTTAAGAAGACTAAGCAAGAAATGGCCCTCCGACCTACCAAACACCTAGCCTAATGTGCATCCCTTAAAAAAGTCAACATCCCTTTTGTAGTGGATGTCATTAAGAACAACAACACAAAACATCAAGCAAAATTTACTGTCACCTTAATGCAAGAATCAATAAGAATCTATCTATACTTGAAATATTGTAAACAATTGTACTCCATACTCAATTGCTCATTGGAGCAACTATGCAAACCACTGAATAACAAAAAGTAAAATAAAGTGTTAGAGGCAATATCAAATTTACCAATTCATGACTTGGAATTTTGGTTACTGTCAACTGGTAACACCTAGTTAACTACAAAATACTAATTCATTTTCCGAATACCTAATATATATTTGCAATGCGATGCTGCCATTTAATATTCTACAGCACTGCACATTTTACATTTGAAAAAATAACGACTGTTATTTTGCCAGAATTCTAAAAGAATTTTTCAAATTCTGCATCATCGACATATATTACAAATATTAATCTTGAAGAACGCTATTTAAGCCGTGGTAACAACATGTTCTAGCCACCACTGATTTCGGATTCGGTACCCACCTCGGTCAGCTAGATACCAAGCAGTAACGATATCCAATCTTAAGTTGATATGTAGATTTATAATAACAAGTGGAGAAAGCCTATTGGAGCATTGCTTCAACATATATCTCGCCAGTATTATATAAAAATTTTAATAAAAAAGTTCGCATCAAATAGAAAATGGCCAACTACTGACTACTGGATTGCATTAGGTTAAGGATACACATCACAACGTCTTATAGAACTTATATGGTTATAATTGCTGCCCAAACAAAAACAAAAAAGAGCGAAAAGAGCGAATTATTTATAATGATTTACCATACCTTTATCTTAGTTATCTTTATCGCCTATGTCAGTCTTGCAGCGGCCTCACGGATTGAGAACCGCATCCTAGCAGCACGCATTCGCGTTATCTGAAATGAATCAACAAATTAATGAAACATTATATTATAAACAATTTTAGTTTAGTTAAAAATTCCAAGAATTCTTTATCGCTGTAATGAAATACTCGCTTAATGGTAAGCAATTTGCAATCAAATCTTAGATAAAAAATTAATGTTCAGCTGAATTTCTAGAGCACATCCATATAGATTCACAATGAGAGTAATTTAGAGCGACATATTCCTTGGCTTTTTATTACATTCATATAAGAAATAATTGAAATGAAATAATTCGAGTTAAAGCTGTGGAGTATTCTATCTTGTCAAAATTAAAGGGTTTATATGGTGTCTTTGCTTCTGACATTGTTCTAACTAAAACTAATAAACTAAGCTTAAAATTGCTTTTATTTAAGTTATGAAATGTTCATGTGAATGCACAAGGGGTATTCATTGAAATGCTTGGTTTTGTTCATGTATTATTTTTTAAAAAGCTTGTATTCAAATTTATTGCAATGAATAGAGTTTCACCATAATGAGATATGCAATAAATAATTATAATAAAATCATTCATTAATTAGTAATCTTAATCATAAAATGATAGAATCAATATATTTTAATTAGTATGAATATATAGATTATTTTTACTTAGATGTAAGAGTGATGAGCAACATTTTATATCAATGCCAATTTTGTGATCTCATTCGAAGCGTTAATAAAGATCTCTTATTTATTTACAAATGTATAAACAAAACTTTACGATTTTTTTTATTATGATAAGGTTGAGTTTATATGAACTTGCAGTATATAATAATAAGTAATTCAATTTCCAATTGCCATATATACTTTATTTTTAATTGTACAGTATAGTACATTATCAACTGAAAATAAATTCTATATTTTCAAGTCGTAATGGATAACATCAATACTCAAAGTTACAGGAGCGCGATAATCGAGCCGACTATTTATTTGCCAAAAAAAAATACATACTTATATATTTATCCCATAAATCTCATATTTTAAGTTCTTCTATCTTATATATAAAAATGAAGCTTATTTCAATCCCGCGTAGAAACTTTACATTTTTAATTAGAAATTTTTGTAGAAGCATAATTGAAATGAAATAATGGACGGCGTCTGATACGTCAAATGTCAAATGTTTTAGACAGATGATGTTCAATTACATTTGATAGGATGTTTTAGATGAATATTATTCCATTGTAGTTAGTAGTTTTATTTATGCACAAAAACATTATTCAAAATATCAACTTTTTAAATGTAAATATGAAAACACTTTTTTGGATTTGTGACACTCTTTTTTGCAAATCATATTTATTTGAAAGCCTGTCTATGAAAGAACTCATTGAAAATTGCAATGAATATATAAATCATTATAAAATAATTAGAATTTGCAATGACTATATAAGTCGAAAGACCAAAAAAACTTAGATTCGATTATATTTTTCAAGGTGTGTAAAACTTCCAGATTGATTGTATTAGCAAAATATGGTCAAAAAATATTGTGAATATAAACTATATTATATTAAACAAAAGCAGTTTGGGGTTCTATTGTTTCTATATAACCTTAATGTCTTTACCACTAATATTATACATCTTTATACACTTTTATTTTTAAGCAGAGTAAATTAGTATTTTTCTTGGATTCTCTAGAACTTGTTTACAAATACCTTATATGATAAAATAAACTTTTGCCGGGTCAGCTAGTATAATATAAAATATAATGAATTCTATTAGTAAGTGATATTTTTTTTAATTCTCTAGTTGTTTTCTGATTAAAAAAAATATGATACGAGTACATTCGCAAAACAATAAAATAATGCATTCATTCCTTTACATGTTTATGGATTTTTTTTAGCGATTTAAAAGTGAAGGACAAATAACATCAAAAATAAAAACTTCAATATTTGTTTTGATGGGATATGCAATATAAAAACTATAGCACTAAAAAATATTCTGATAAGAAGATATTATTAGTTTACAATAACTTCAAAGTGCACCCAAAAATACGACAGTTACTTAGTGAAATTTTTTATATTCTTATTTTTACCAACAAATAAAACAACTAACTTCTTCATTCTTCCTTATCTTCTTAACTTGCTTCTTCTTCTAATATCTAATGCTATTCTATTTCAAATCAACAATTCAAATTCTACTTAATTTCAATCGAACAGATCAAATGACAATTCTATGTCACCACAAGGACTCGAACCGGGTGTCCCTAGCGTGTGAGTCAGGCATGCTACTAACTGAGCTATTACCACCGCAATGGATAACGGTTAACCTATCCATATTTTATATTAAAATTTATCTAATATCGCTAATATATTTTTAATTTTGCGCAGCATTGTGCGAAAATGCTAACTTACAATTAGTGTAAAATCTAAACCAAAAAAATCAGCTACATAAAAAAATCTGTAAAACTTCTCAGTTTTTAAAACCATAGTTTATGAATTTGAAAATGCTATTCCCATTTTCTTATAATTTATTATTGTAATAAAGCAAGCACGAACAAGTAATTTGTAATAACATGAACATATTGTTTGTACTTCTAATTTTCATAATAGTTGCCAAAAAAAAAGTTTGTCATTTGCTCTAATTAAGCACTTGAATCATTTATCTTACAGCTTAAAGGTTAAAAGGTTAAACATAATATATTTTCGTCGCAAATATTTTTATAGATAATATTTACATCGGTAATTACTTAAGTAAATATATCTTCTTCTGCCATAAAATCTCTGGAAATACTCTTGTATTTGCATTTACCGTAAAAATTCCAAACTTGAAAGAGTATCGAGAACATTTTAAGTTAATTGCTTGGTTTATTTTGTAGAGTAAACGCATTGCCTTTTAAAAGTTAATTTGAATGTATGCACATGCATTAAACCGCTTCAAACATAAATCCTATGGTTAGAAACGAATTTAAACTTCACTTAAAATAATTAAACAGTATATTATTGTGAGAAACGGCAAATGATTTAATAAAATTTAAATTAACAATAAATTTTGTGCAGAAATAAATATAATCATTTGGAAAAATGTTAATTCAAATATAACCGAATAAATGATTATTTTTAACTTCCCCGTAGGGTACGTTATTGTAATCAAAAATGCAAATTGTTATATATCTTTACGTTCCAAAGGTTTTTGAACATTTTGGCATAACTTAGAAAAATGGATGTATGTGTGTGTGCGGATACAAATTTTCGTTGACGATTTCGGAAACACCGATCAACCGATTTAAATAATTCAAAAACCATTCGATGTGTACTAAAAAGGAGACATGCTGATTAGTTTTTGGCGAAGGCAAGTCTAGCCGTTCCGAAGATACGGGGCAAAAAGTGCCAAAATCCGATTTTAATAAATCAAAAAACATTTTATTTGTATTGGCAAGATGAAAAACTGATTAAATGTTTGGGAAGGCAGGTCCAGCGGTTGTGGACTCTCGATAAAAATTAGTTTAAAAAAATGTCATTTGGCGGTCAAAAATGTTTATTGAACATATGTACATCAAATTATCAGATATTTTATAGAGGTTTTAATAATGTGAAGAGATTTTAATTACGGTACGGGAAGTTCCAGCAATATGCCTTAAGGCACGATGCCATGCACACTACTAGTTTTCTTTAACAATATGGAGTTGTAGAAGTTTTACCAATTTTTGTAGTAAGTGATACGTTAGTAGTAAAATGCAATAGAATATCAATTGTAATCTTATGATTTGATTAATATTTCAATTATAATTTCAGAAAAAAATCCTGAATGATATACATTGCTTCTCAGTTAGGATTTTTTCACACATATAAATCAAATAAAAATCTATAAAATATTTTTAAAAAAAATGTCCATATTATTTTGTGAAAAAAATTCATATCGTCAAATACTTGCACATAAACTTTTAAATAAAATCATGTTTCAACCTGGTCTATTATATTTTAATTACAACCACACTATCACATAGATATTAGCTATAGAAAAATTACTTCAAAACTGTGGTCATTTATATCAGAAAATATTTTTTTACAAAATTTGGATGAATACGTGTCGTAAGTTGTATTGCTTCGGCCTTGCAAGAAGATTTATAGGGCGATTCTACTGCACAACTGACCAATGTGACGGCCGGTGTTAACGCGTCACTCCCAACCCTGGTATAATTATAATATTTTATTATCTCCAGGCAGGATAGCGACAATAAACCCTTCATTGATACGCATCCTGTCGCAAAATCAGTAATCCATTTTTCCTAGAATTTTTATCACCTGTCCCTAGCTATATGATCCTACCATCCTTATATTTCCAAGAAATTCGCACTACCTGTGTCCAGTTTAAATTCTCCGTATCATGCAAGTTATCAACCAATACCTGATCGGTTGATAAATGTAATAACCACTGATTGGTTCCAAATTTGTAATGGGGTGTCCTTAATTCCACAAAACGGGCCAATCAGAAAAATATATAAAATTATAAAATGTATATAATTTAGTATCAACCTAAATTTCATATAGCTAAGATCAGTCGTAAATTAACACTCAAATCCATAACATCTAATTCAAACCTCAACTATCTAATCATCTATAAGTCTTAATATTTCAAATACACAATAATCAAACAGTTATTCAACATCTTTTATTTTTATTCAAACGGTCTGATATAGCCAACAACTAAATATATCTGGTCCTTCGAAAAAGTGCAAGTGTTCAATAGAGTTCGGCAGCATCCAGATAGATCACGAACTTCTTAAACACTTTGAACCTATCTAAACAAATACTTTTTTGGCCATTCAAACCGAATGGTCATTTTACTAAACAGCCGGTCTATGTTAAGCTCCAACTTCCATACATTATGATACTGAATATCCATAAATCATACTGAATACTATCAAAAAGTCATGTATTTGCTGTGCATTCATGCGTTTTACACATAAACTGCAACGTCACTCGTATGTTACGAAGCTGAGTCAGAAAGACCCTGTTATCTAAGATCGTTTTCTTGACATTTGTGCGGTTTCTAGATTACGT